GGGGGGGAGGGGGGACAAGTCGGAAAATTTGAAGGGTTGAGCATGATGGTGTAAAAGATTACCGAGGAAAAACTTTAAAGATTTGTTCTGAAAAAAAACCGATTTAAAGAAATATACAAAACAATATATTCTGAACATCAAACAGAAATGAAACAAGAAATGAAATTTATAAGAAAAAATGTAAATTAAGTTTAATTTTTAGAAAATTCTACGTTTTTTTCTTTGTTTGAAAACAACTCTTATATCGATGATATTTTATCCCAACACGAAAATCCCTTTATAAAAGCAAGATTCTTATGAATTTTCTGCGTATCCATTTATTAATCTTTAAAAACTTTTATTTTTGATACGTACGTCGTGCCTTCAATTTAAATCTAAATACGTATCTTTATTAAAGACAGGGCTGTGAAAGGTTCGATGACGTCATAAATCGATATTAAGCTGGCAAGGAGGGATGGAGCCACGGTGCGATATATTAATATGAAACTGACCAGAGAGTAGGTTTGAGCGGACCAATAGGAAACCAGGAGACTCGGAGTAAGGTTCGGCCTAGGAAACCCAATCATAACGGAAATTATGATTCAATATATATATATATATATATATACTGCCTCCATCCTTTACCGCCAAACTAGGCCAACCCACTCATATCTTCATATTAAGAATATCGTGAAACATAATAAGAAACGAATTTTCATACATGTGTTTAGAATATTTCTCTTCTTTTACATTGTTCAAAACATGGAGTTATGGAAAGGTTATTGCAGGCCGGTTAGTATTGCAGGCCGGTTAGTATTGCAGGCCGGTTAGTATTGTCAGGTCTTTCCCATTCATTCCTGCGTTCCGAGCGACTGTTCTTTTTTCTAATCCTGGTTATGAAGATATTAATGCTATAACGCACATAGATTCAATCTGCTTATAACAAGTCTCATTAATTTTAAAGACAGGGTAAAAATTGATTTTACCGCTCTAACTCACTTATTCTTTTTCGTAGACCTTTAAATGTACATTTCCACAGTACATCGCGAGTTTTATATCGCGATCTTTTCTGGTTTAATGAATTAATATAAGAAAATTGAACGCCCCTATTTCCTTGATTTGCTGTTTATTCTGGTCCGGTTTTGTTTACAAACATTGACCGTACTGCACTATATACAAACTGATCCATAAACCAGTCAGTGTTGACTGAATACTTGAAGGATCTAGTTGCACCCCAGAGCGTCATTGGTATGTAATTAATACTAATTTCTTATAATTTTTATATGTAAACAGTTGAACATTATTTGTATTTTTCTAATTATGATGTATTTCTAGTGTATAAACACCTGAAGATGAATAAACTTTTCCTTCTACCGTTCTGTACCTTTCGTTCTGAGAGAAAACATTTCAGTCCTTCATGTTAACTTATAAGTCGCCGACCGGCGCGAAACACTTGTTGTTAGCTTTGGTTTTTAAAAAGTAATTGGAAAAATTCTCATGTATTTTTGCTTGAGAGCTTGAGAGCTTTAAATCACAGTGAACGCGCAAGTTTCTAGCTGATTAAAAGGAGTAATTGGCAAAATCATGATACGGCTAGCTTGTATTAAAATTTGGTGAGGCGCGATTTTCGCGACAAATATTTACAGGTTGCCAAATTTCATTTTTTTTATGAAAATAAAAATAAATCAATTACACATCTTTGCTATTAAGAAACTGAGTTTTCATGAAGAATCATAATTCGATGATGATTCGACGGCTACTATTTTTTTGTATTTTAGTCTGAAGTTTTAAGAAAAATCTTTATAATAAAGCTCTTCGCTCATATATATATATACAAGTATTGTATATATGTATTATATTGTGTATATATATTTATGTGTCAGCTATAGCTGGCCAAACGGCTGAACCGATTTGGCTGAATTTTTTTGAGGGAACCCATCGGTATCTCGTGGGTGACATAGTCTAAAAATTTCTATTTTTTGCGAGTTAGAATTTTGTTCTTCAAATTTTCTTGATTTTTTTGTTAATTTCAAGGGCAACGCCGAGAATTTCAGTTAGTATTTTAAAAAACGATGTGTTGAAAAGGACTGTAGAGGTAATTTGAAGTGCTATGAGATATACATGATTTTTCTTTAATAAATATACTTTTTCAGTTTGGGTTTATGTTTAGAAGGATTTTTTCTAAAATCTGAAATTAAAAAAAATTCATCATAAAACAATGCGCTGAAAATGACTGTAGACGTAATTTCAAGTGCCATGATGATTATCCATTATTTTTATTAACATTTTTTTCAACTGGAGTGTCTGTATAAAAGTGACTAACAGATTTCAAGCTAAAAAACAATGGAGGAACATAAAAAAACAGACTTCTCTCAGTCCCCATTTCTCTATCTGTGTGTATCTATCTGTCAACGTATCTGAGTCATTTGTCCCCCCTCTCCCTGTAGCACTTAGAATTGTATATATCTAGTGTCTAATCCTGAAATAAGATTACTCCAGGGTTGGATATATGTATATATTCTCCTGGTCAATATTCTAGTATTCAAGGATTAATCACTGGACGTGGATTCACTCTCAACTTCTCACAAACCTATCAAACTATTCACAAACCTAATCCAATCTCAAACCTTAAACACAAACCATCAGATATTCAATCTTTGGAACCTAGGGGTCAAACTAACGATGTTAGGTATTTTCCAAAGGTTTTCCCCAAAACGGCAACATTCCAAGGGCATCCTAGCCGCAGCGCTCGGCCCCTAGCATGTTCAAGCCGCAGTGCTTGGCCCCCTATTACATCCTAGCCGCAGAGCTCGGCCCTCATTGAAGTCTGCGTCGCTTCAGAGAAGGCCTAACCGAATCTTTGGGAAGTTGCCGCTTTGGAAATTGCACATTTGGGAAGTTAACACTTGGGAAATTGTCACTTAGGATGTCGCCCTTGGGAAAATGCCTTTGGAAAAACACCAAACTAACCCTATCTCAAGAGAAAGCAAGAAAATCTAGAATTCTTCGCTTTACTTCCTACTTCCTTGTAATCCTTGAAAGCTAGAATCAAACAATTATTTAACTAAATTTTTTGCTGCGAAGTTAAAATTGTATTCGTTAAACTAAAGGATTGATTTCTTTCAGCTCAAGATCAGTCGACCAGTAAGGTTTCCACAGTTCACACAAGTTTGGAGAAAAAGAAAATTTCAATTAAGAATTCCAGGGACATTATACAGTAGTTTTAGTGTGCACAGTTCCAGTACTTGAATCACTAAAGGCTGATGAACTCTTCTTTTCAACCCTTTTTTTGCAGGAAAATATGTGAGTTGAGGAAACTAGGAAACCTGCGAATCATGCTCCGTTCTAGGCTTCTCCAGTGTTTAGGTGAACCCTACTTCTCCCAACCTTGTCTTAATTTCTCCGGATACCTTACTTATTCTAACCCTATCGTCATTTCTCCGGATATCTAAATTCTTCAACCTTATCTTCATTTCTCCGGGTTCCTTCCTTCTCCAAAACTTATCTTAATTTCTCCGGGTTCCTTACTTCTTCCATCCTTTTAATTTCTCCGGGTTCCTTTCTTCTCCAAAACTTATCTTAATTTTTCTGGGTTCCTTACTTCTTCCATCCTTTTTTTATTTCTCTGGGTTTCTTACTTCTCCAAAACTTATCTTAATTTCTCCGGGTTCCTTACTTCTTCCATCCTTTTTTTATTTCTCTGGGTTTCTTACTTCTCCAAAACTTATCTTAATTTCTCCGTGTTCCTTACTTCTTCCATCCTTTTCTGAATTTCTCCGGGTTCCTTACTTCTCCCACAAACCTTCTGTTCTCCGATATCTTCCCTGACCCTATGACAACCCTAATCTACTTCTCCGATTCTTCGATGATTCCTTTATTCAACCTGTCCATTTTTCCGATGATTCCCCTAACCTACCTGTTCAGTTCTCCGATGACTCCGCAGACCTACCTTTTCAGATTTCCGATGACACCTCTGTCCTCTAATGATTCCCTTATACAGCCTAAACTCCACTTCCAAACTACAGAAACCCTAACTTCTCATTATTTCACAAAACAACCTGAAATCCTGATTTTTTTAAGTGTTCATCCCTTTCATTTTTCTCATAAACCAACCTCACTATCTAACTAATATCACGTTTATTCATTCATCTAACTATCTACCCATCTATTAATCTATCTAACTAATATCGGGGGGTATTTTTATGATAGGAAGGGGGAGAATAACTTTATTAGAAACGCAATTATTAATCAACAATACAATTACTATTTATAACTTTGAATGGCTATAAAAACAGCTGGCTTGGGATTTACCTAAAATTGTAATGTTTAGTATTTGAGAAAGTTTTTAGACAACAGACATTAATTCAAAAAGAAAAGGTAATTTTTGCTATATTTTTTTTCAATTAGAGTTCTCGAGAAAGTTTGTTATATAATATAAGAACAAAAAAGCCGATGTTACCACAACCATAGTAGTAAAGGGTTTTGTAATGTAATATTGTACACCTTAGATATGTCGTATACCTATCAATTCTGCTAGATCAAATAATCTAAGTTTGAAATAACTAAGGTTAACGCCATCAGGTTGCAAAGATATAAAGATTAGAAAATTTGAGTTTGTTTCAAAGACTCAATTCCTTTAAGCAGACAAAGTGCACAGGGTTACAGATATGTTACATTCGATCAGATATTAGTATATTATGAAGCCAATCACAGAACTATAAGTTCAAGATGGAGGGAGGGGCGGGGGCAATGCAAACTATAGATAGAAGAAGAAGAGAAAACTTTTTCCCTGTCTCCGGTTCGACTTTGTGACCTCGTAGCTCCTCTAGATTCTATTTTACGCAGCAGTACAAATTTATTCGTTTACATATTAGAAATGCAAAACATGATTGTTCTTCTCAAAAAAACTAATATCACGTTTATTCATTCATCTAACTATCTATCCATCTATTAATCTATCTAACTATTTGTGCAACTATTATTTTATCCAACTATTTTTGAATATTCATTTACCGCAAATTAACTTGGCTTTGTTTCTTCAATAAAAAGGTGGGATAGGGAGGAGACAGTGTACAACTTTTCTCTTGTCATTCTTGATTTTGCTAAACTATAGAAGACATCTTTAGAATAGTATTGGAGACACCCGGAGTATAAGCATAAAAGAGAACACGTATTGCAGACACCCTGGATGACACCCTTGAGCATAGTATTGGAGACACCCTAGAGTGAAGGCATATAAGGTACGGATATTGGAGACACCCTTTAGTAAAGGCAGAGGAGGTACAGATGTTGGAGACACCCTAGAGTAAAGGCAGAGGAGGTGCAGGTATTGGAGACACCCTGGAGTAAAGGCAGAGGAGGTACAGGTATTGGAGACACTCTGGAGTAAAGGCACAATAGATACAGGTATTGAAGACACCCTGGAGTAAATGCAGAGGAGGTACAGGTATTGGAGACACCCTAGAGTAAAAGCAGAGGAGGTAAAGATATTGGAGACACCCTAGAGTAAAGGCAGAGGAGGTACAGATATTGGGAGACACCCTTGAGGAGGGGCAGAGGAGGTACAGGTATTGGAGACACTCTGGATTAAAGGCAGAGGAGGTGCAGGTATTGGAGACATTCTAGAGTAAATGCAGAGGAGGTACTGGTATAGGAGACACCCTGTTGTAAAGGCAGAAGAGCAACAGGTATTGGAGACACCCTGGAGTAAAGGCAGGGGAGGTACAGGTATTCTAGACACCCTGGAGTACAGGTAATGAAGCCACCATCGAACAACGTTATTAGACACCCTTAAAATATACATATACAGATTACACACATACATACTATTAGATGGATATGCTGAATACATCAAGTTGCAAAATTGTTAATTTTCCAGTTGGTGATTTCAGTTTATCATGCAAAGAGGAGCTTTATGCAATCTCCTCCCACCTTTGTCTAAACTAACAATATTTGTTCACTTTCTTCTTAGAATGTTTTCTCTGGTTTTCTTTTTCTCTTTTATTCCTATTCTTCTAACTTCACTCTTTATTCCAGCCTTACTAGTTTCCTTTCTATATAGATCTTTATTTTCACTTTGATCTGTGATTCTTTTAAAGACTTATCTCCAATTCTTCATTTGTTCTACCTACCACAGACTTTTCTCCTCTACCCTCCTCTTTCCTTAAGACTTCCCTTCCCCCAATCCTCCATCAATGGACTCCAGTAAGAGACTTTTATCCATTGCATCCTACTTCCTAAAGAGTAAAGACTACATGTTCTAAACTACCCCCGTTCTAAAGAATACTACCCCATCCCCATGCTTCCTTAAAGAATACTACCCCCTCCCCATGCTTCCCTAAAGAATATTCCACCTCCCCCTACTCCCCTAAAGACTATTCCCCTCCCCCTTCTCCCCTAAAAAATATTCCCCCCCTACTCCCCTAAAGACTATTCCTCCTCCCCCTACTCCCCTAAAGACTATACCCCCTGCCCCTACTCCCCTAAAGACTATTCCCTCTCCCCCTGCTCCCCTAAAGACTAGTTTAAAACCCCGACTATTTAATCTACGGAATATTTGACACTACAATATTCAAAACTCATTCTAACCAGGGTCTCATTTTATTCAATTTAAAGGGATAAAAATAAGAACCCAGGCTAGAATTTTAACAAAGCTTCCATTTCTTATTCAAGTTTAAGAACTGTGCACAGTGTGTAATGTGTAGTGTACAATTGTACAATGTACAGATAGACCTACAGTTGATGAGTTAAAAAGCACTTCAGTATTAATTTAATACACCACTGTAACTGCATGTAAAAAAATTAAAAATCTAGGTTTTAAAAACATCAAAAAGGGTTGTTGATTTCTTCGCTTAGTCCTTTTTTTGGAGACACCCATCTACACTTTCACTAACAATATTTTGTCCATACTCTATCCCCTTTAATTTAAACTAAAGGGAAACCCTGCAGTTGGGAAAAGTAATATATGAAATTTCCATATGTATAAACCATAATGAAATCCACAGTGTAGTTCGATACAGTTCTATATAGTTCTATACAGTTCTATACGGATATTAAAATGAAATGTATTTTAGTAATCCATCATTTCTCATTCTACAATCTACAACTCTTTATATCATTTTATAATATAGAACAAAAAATTCTTTTCTTATTCTGAAATTTAAAACACTTTATTTTATTATATATTAAAGATATAATTCTTTTCTTATTTTACTGTTATCTTATATTATACAGTCTCACACTCTATCTCACCTTCCTTTAATCATCCACACTCTACTCATCCTTTCCTTCACTCATCCTTTCCTTCACTCATCCTTTCCTTCACTCATCCACACTCTACTCATTCTTTCCTTTACTCATCTACACTCTACTCATTCCTTCCTTTACTCATCTACACTCTACTCATCCCTTCCTTTATTCATTCACACTATACTCATGCTTTCCTTTACTCATCCTTTCCTTCACTGATCCACACTCTACTCATCCCTTCCTTTACTCATCCACACTCTACTCATCCTTTCCTTTACTCATCCCTACTCTACTTATTCCTTCTTTTAACGTCGTGTTCGTTCATGTTCATGTTTGTGTGTGCGTGCAGATGCGTGTATGTGTATTCTGTATACAAACAAATCAATTTTACTATTACAGTTCAACCAAGCGTTATTAAATGTGTAGAGGGAGGGGGGAGGAGGTGTTAAAACTAACATGGAGGTGGGGGGAGTGTAAAAACTAACTGAGGGGGGGGGGGTACCGGGATAGCGAGGAACAATCCTTTTTTAAATAAAGAATTAGTTTGGAAAATTGACATTCGGTCTCCTGAATCCTTGAAACAGATGGCTCTATTTAACATTTTGTAGGGGTCCAGGGGTAGGAATGGATAAAGGGGGGTTTTTAGGGACAGAAATGGTAATTTTTAGGAGCAGTGTATAAAGAAAGGGAGGGAGTATAACATAAGATTGAAATTGAAAAATAAAAATTAAGAAAATGTCAAGGATATCTCATTTATCTTTTATCAGACAAAGCCTTTAATCGTGATGCCATGCCAATCAAAAAGTGAGAGTAACTAGAAATCACATATAACAGTCCCTTTCAGAATATTCTAAAATGTTGCATTTTTTGCTAAATAATAAATACAAAACTGCTTAAATCGTCGTTGACATTTAAATAAATGAAATGGTAAATAGAATTGTTTTTTTCTTTTACAAAAATAAAAAAATATTCTAGATCCAGGCATTTACAGATAACATTTAAATCATTTACCACAATGGAATTTAGATAAATCATTTAATACTTTTACATGTCATTTTCAGTTTTAGTTTAATAGACATGTTTAGTTTATAGACAAGTCTAGTTTATTAGACATGTTCAGTTTAGTAGACATGCTCAGTATACTAAAAATGTTTAGTTTATTATACATGTTCAGTTTAGAGACATGTTCAGATTAGTAGACATGTTTAGCTTATTAGACATGCTCAGTATACTAGACATGTTTAGTTTAATAGACATGTTCAGTTTAGAGATATGCTTAGTTTATTAGACATGATTAGTTTATTAGACATGTTTAGTTTAGTAGAAATGTTTAGTTAATTAGACATGTTCAGTTTTGTAGACATGTTTAGTTTATTAGACATGCTCAGTATACTAGACATGTTTAGTTTAGTAGACATGTTCAGTTCAGTAGGCATGTTCAGTTTAGTAGACATGTTCAGTTCAGTAGACATGTTCAGTTTAGTAGACATGTTCAGTTACTAGACATGTTTAGTTTAGTAGACATGTTCAGTTCAGTAGGCATGTTCAGTTTAGTAGACATGTTCAGTTCAGTAGACATGTTCAGTTTAGTAGACATGTTCAGTTCAGTAGACATGTTCAGTATAGTAGACATGTTCAGTATAGATGTTCAGTATAGTAGATATGTTCAGTATAGTAGATATGTTTAGTATAGTATGGACAAATATTTGTTCTAAATATGTATTAATTTATTAGATTCCAGTTTACAAGTCTGTCCATTGAACCTATCTGAAACATGTTTAGGTTTGAAATTGTTCCCAAAACAAACAAATCTAAAGTAAATTCTATTATTTCTATTCTGTACAAGAGGGTGGTCAGCCAACCATATATATTTTATATGTATAGTGTAGAAAGGGGGAACCATTGAGAAATGTCGAACCTAGAAACATTGTTTATACTTTTGGACATCTTATACAAAATTTATTAACTATCATTAACAACTATGAAGGAACTGAGTTTTTTCCACAACCCCAAATTTTGTAATTGTTTTATCTTTGCAGCCTGATGGTGTAAACCTTTAATATGTCAAACACAGACTTTATCAAAATTCATAGGTTGAAATACCAAAGGTCTACAACATCGGGTTGCAAAGATATACTGATTAAAAAATGATTTCCTTTAATTAATCTTTTTCTTATAAATATTAATGAAAATAGATTAAAATGCATAGTAGCCAAAATATTTATAATTTTTAAGTTTTTGTAAATCGATTGCTCCACCCCCCTGGCCCTACTGGTGGTGTGGTCAGGTAATGTTTTGTTCTTTACTCTAAGGACCATCTGGAGTAAGGACGAGGTGAATCAAGGATGATGGGTTCATGTCCAAATCTGAGAAGGTTTCAATGTTTTACGAGGTTTATTGTTCCCAAGGGTGTGCAGGAGGATACATGAAATAAGATGGAAGGAGTACCAGGGAGGGGAGAGGGGGGGTTTATCCGGGGGAGGTGGTTTAGAGAGAGGTAGTAAAATACAGGGGTGGGGGTGGGGGGCTTGAAGGATTTGTGAGTAGGAGGATGATTGAAGATGATTATGATAGATTCACAAAAGAGAAAATAAAGAACCCGAAAAAAAGGTTATTATTTTTTCATTGACAACCAGTGAAAAAAAATTTCAAAAATTAATTTTAAATATTTCTAACTTTCACACTTATTAAAGATAAGTTTTGGTTATGTTGTAATTTTCTAAAAAAGTGTCAAGGAGTTCAAAATATCAAATCAAAGTTAAGGGTTTGATTGGTTTGAAAGGAAAATATAGGTTAAAAGGGGTTTGGTTTGTTTTCTATCTTTAGGTTTGAAAAAAGGCCCGATTAAAGTTATTTTGGGTTTCTTTTGCTTTAATATCTCTAAATCTAGAAATATATCCTGCTTAGTTGGCCTTGGTTGGGTTAATAAATCAGCTTGGTTTTAATTTACAAGTATTTTATCATGCTCAATTTTGAATTGCTTAAATACATCTGTAATTTAAGCAAATTAGTAGCATTATTTCAATTTTACTAAATTGAATCTCTAATTGCTGTTTT